TTTTTCTCCTTCCCCACCCAGGGGTCAATCTGGGGACAATGGCACAATCTGAGGACTGAGGAGCTCACCCTGAGGGCCACGACGGCTCACCCCAAGCCAAAGGCCGAGGGCAGCCCGCCCCAGGCAGAGGGCCGTGACAGCTCACCCTGATGAAGGCTTAATCTTTAACAAATGGTTCATATTCTCCTCACTTTCAGCAAGCAAAGTTGTGTTCTCAGCATAATGCAAGTTATTGATGATTCTTCCTCCAATCTTGATGTCACATTCCTCTTCATAGAGTCTGGCTTTGTGAATTATTTGCTGAGCATGATTGATTGACTAGATATGGAGAAAAGATACAACCCTGACTCACTCCCTTCCTGATCTTAAACCATGCAGTGTTCCCTTGCTTTTGTTTGTATAACAGCTTCTTGGTCTAGGTATAGTTTTCATGTGAGCGCAATTAATTCTGGAATTATCATTCTTCTCAATGTGATACATAATTTGTTATGATCCACTCAGTCCAGTGCCTTGGCATAGTCAATAAAACACAAATATCCATTGTTCTGGTACTCTGTGCTTTCAGCCAGGTTCTATCTGATAGCAGTAATGCTATCTATCCTGGTGTTGCAGCCTCTTCTAAAACCAGCTTGTACTTCGGGTAGCTCTCTGTCAATGTACTATTCTAGCAGCTTTTTAATGATTTTCAACCATATTTTACTTGCATGCGATATTAAGGATATTGTTCAATAGTTTCCACATTCTTTTAGATCACCTTTCTTGGGAATGGGGAAAAATGTGGAGCTCTTCCAGAGAGTTGGTCACGTAGCTATCTTCCAAATATCCTGGCATAAACTGGTGAGCACATCCAGGGCTATATCTGTTAGTGCAAACATGTCAGTTGGTATTCCATTGGTTCCCAGAATCTTATTTCTTTGCCAGTGCCTTCAGTGCTGCTTAACTTCATGTTTCATTACCGTTGGCTCTTGTTTAGATTGCACTTCCTGAAATTTTTCCATCAACCAATTCTTTTTGATAAATTGATTCTGTATATTCCATCCATTTGATTCCATCCTTTGATGCTTCATGAATCATTCAAAATTGAGTCCAAAACATCTTTCAGTGTTGTAACTCGAGGCTTCAAAATAGTGCTGTTAAATTATGAATATT